CAATTCATAATTACTTTTAAAGTATCCTAAATGGTGACACTTTTGTTTTAAGGTTAAAAAAAAATAAGCAGTAGTAACATTTCTTAATTTTTAACTTGAATACAACTATTTTCAAACGTTAACATTTGTAACAATTATGAGTGTGAATGTAGGTTCCTTAAAGTAGCAATGATACCATAAACCTCTTTTTTGAGGTGATAAATAAATGATTTTTGCAAGAAAATATTTGCATTCAGTTTTCTACCAACGTTTCTCATCAAGCACGGTTGAAGAGAACAAAAATATCCCGTTCCAAGAAGTGCCAGGAGGCTATGGGTCCATGCTGAGAGGGATGGGAAACATTTGGAGACACGCCTCTCTTTTGTCATATTATTTAACTATCCCACCCCTCCTCCTCTTTAGAATGCATGCTTGTCTTTTCTACACATAATGCGTAATGGTAGAGCGGAGAATGAACTCCCTTGTACAATGGGCGCTCATCATTTTTGGACTCATCTCTGTCATTCTGAACATCGTCCTGATCGGCATTCACTCGGGCAGGGTGCCCAAATGTTCGGCTCTGCGTGTCCACCCACTGAAGAGTGAACACGATGAACGCAGCCTCGTGTTTGCTGATCTCACTCAAGAGGAGTACTTGCAAGTCCAGCAGTACATGCTCAAACAGAGGGGCCTGGATATCTCCACCAGGCAAACCACCAAGCCATCGGAGAACTTTTTATTTCTAATTGATCTCTCACTACCAAAGAAATCGGAGGCTGTGGCTTACTTAGATGGGAAAGGTCAAAAGCCAATAAGAGAAGCAACAGTGGTGGTCTTCTATGGCTCGAAGAGCTTCATTAAGGAGTATGTGGTAGGGCCTCTTCCCAACCCGACATACTACAGAGATGTGACTAAGGAGAGATACAACATGGATTTACCGATCAATAAGCGCCTGGTTACCATTGGGGAGTACGATCTGATGTTTAAATTTTTTGAGACAGAGGTATTTTCTAAGTTAGCGAAACTCCTTAAAGAGAGCTTTGGTGTGGATAAAGAAAAACGCTTGACGGCTTTCGAGCAAATGCCCCGGGGGCTTCGGTCAGGGGACAGAAAAACTTGGGTTTCTTTCTTTAGGGACATGAGCGGCATGTACATTCACCCAGTGGGCTTCGAGGTGCTGCTGAACCACGAAAGCGTAAACGCATCTCAGTGGAAAGTGGAGAAGCTGCTTTATAACGGCAAATATTTTAACACGGTGGAAGAACTTAAGATGGAATATAATAACGGGAAAGTGAAAAAAATTGTCTACAAGGAATCTCCTGACTACGGCTCTCTTAAACCTAGAAAAAAGCCGCTGCAGCTCCCACCCCAGCAGTTTTATTCAGAAGGGAAACGTTACAGCATCGGGTACAACCACGTCCTCTACCTGGACTGGAGCTTTGCTTTTGGACTCAGTTCCCTCACAGGTATGAGAGTGTTTGATGTGAGGTTCAATGGTGAAAGAATTGCCTATGAAATAAGCGTGCAGGAGGCAATGTCGGTGTATGGATCAGTGACACCAGGGATGATTCTCACTAAGTTTTTGGATTCAAGCATTGGAATCGGTCGCTTCGCACATGAGCTAGTTCGTGGTGTAGATTGTCCCTATAACGCCGACTATGTTGACACATACCGTTACATCGATGTCTCGGTCCCAGTCAGGTTTAGGAACTCAATATGCATATTTGAGCACAACATGGGTCAGCCCCTAAGAAGACACTTCGCAGATTTTTTCCACAACAGCTATGGAGGGATGGTAAACAGCGCTTTAATCTTCAGAACGATCACAGCTATAGGGAATTATGACTACATGTGGGATTTCATCTTTTATCAAAGTGGATCGGTTGAAGCCAAAGTGCACGCCACTGGCTACATCTCATCTTCTTACCTGGTAGACGGCAATCTGAAGTATGGACACCAAGTGGCAGAAAATGTCCTCGGCAATATTCACACGCACTTCATCAACTTCAAGGTGGACCTAGATGTGGCAGGTAAGAAGCAGCATAGTATTACATCGGTTTTTGGTAAATGTCTGTCTGATACTGAGTACATATGGGGTGCTGTTTGTAAAGTTACACAGTCAAAAATTTACAGCAATATTGTGAGTTATTTAGCTCCAAACGAAATATTTAGTGTTTAAACTAAATATTTAGCTCCGGGCCTAAACATTTAGCTTCCTAATATAATTTTAGTTTAGAGCTAAATATTTATTTTGTAAATTAAATATTTAATTTGTTAATTAAATATTTAGTTTGGAACGGTGGCATTTATAAATGTATAAATGGCATAGTGAAAAAATGACTATGAAAAATGAACTCCCATTTTGTTCTGTTGACCCAAAATATTGCTGTCAGTTTTTGACTGGGTAACTTTACAAACGACACCCCATAAGTAGATATAGGATCATCTAAGTGCCCTCTGGTAATGAATGATCCGTTATCCTTTTTTATGTTTAAATATGCGCAAAACATGACACCTGAAATATTTCTGCTCATAAATCAAATTATCTAAGACAATTTATCTCTCAGGTAAGAAAAATACATTTTCTAAACTGTTTTGTCCAGATCCGGCTCGTCTGGCAGCAAATCTAAAAACATTAAACATGTACTCTGGTAGTTATTATTTAGATATTTTTTCTTCTATTTTTGGAGGAAAAATTTTAAATACCTCCTCAAAATTCTCTTAATGAAAAAACTGTATTCTGTCTAGATTCTGTTGATCAGGGTGTTTTACAGGTGAACTGGTTTTCCCTGTGTCCAAAAGTCCTTTTGACTGGTTTTGGAGATAATATATTATTAATGTCACATTTTAGGATTCAATGACCACAGAGGGTAAAATTAAGAATTTTCCAGGTTTATAAATATAGTTGTGTACAAACGACGAATTATCGGTTTTAGGCACTACAACAGATAAAAGTCAGCAAATTCACATAAAAAACACTCCTGGACGATACAGAACAAAGAAAGTAGGTGTTAAATTTTATAATTTGGATAAGAGAGACATTGGGTGAGACTTTAAAAAGATTTGTTAATTACTTCTTTTAGGTTCCTGTTCGATTGAATTGACAAGAAATGTATTCTCCATGCATTTTAGAAGACATACATTCATTCATGCAGTAGCGTTTTTAAGACAGGGCTAAACAGATAATTGCTGAACCAGGTTATAAAGTCTTTGGGATGGAAAAACAGAGTACATATAGTTAATGCTAGTAGCTTAATGGCGTTCTTCAGAAAAGAGACACAGTTAAAACGAAAAATCAGGGCAAGAGAAAGATTAGAAGTTTTTGTCAGCAATAGCTCAGCCAATGATCCCATTTAGGAAGGTGATACAGCTACACACAAAACCACAGGCCCATATGCAGCTAATATGGACAGAATGGACTGCATTTACAGATAATGCACTGACCGATAATGCAGAGAAACAGGTAAAAGTAGTGGTGGAGGGAAAAGTGGTCAGTATGTTCTTCAGCAGCCTAACCCTAAAGCAGCATAATCAGCAGACTCGGTGTCTTATTAGTTAGCACCACCATAACATAAAAAAGTAAGTGTAACTAACTTGTCACAGGTATCAAAGAATAATATTTAATTTAACATTTATCTTATAGATTGGTGTTTACATGGGTAATTATCAGGGCTCGTATTCACAAATAATCTGAAGACTGAAAGTACCTCCTAGTGACACCATTTTAAGAAAAATCTTAGAATTCAAGGAATTACAATTTTTCTTCGTAAGATAAAGGTTTTTCACAAAGCACCTTAGGCCTTAAGAGAGCTACTAAAGTGAAAAACTATTGAGTAGTGAAGAGGACTTTTAGTTAGCCTATGAGTATCTTAAGCAGAGTACATTTAATTAAGAATTTAAATATTATTTACAGACTGTAAATTCCTTAAATAATTTGGAAAAAGTCGATATATAATATATATAGTATATATGCAGTGTGTGTGTGTATATACAGTATATACAGTACTGTTAAAAGTTTTGGGCAGGTGTGAACAAATGCTGGAAACAAAGAATGCTTTCAAAAATCGAAGTGTAAATCATTTATTCTCATCAATCAACAAAATGCAGTGAATGAACAGAAAAGAAATCTAAATCAAATCAGTATTTGATGTGAAGGAGAAAGGCATGGCAAGCAGGTGTGAGCAATCAGATAACAATGAGAAACAGCTGAAAAGAATTAAAGCAGAGAGCTGAGGTAGAGGTAGACTGATTAACACACAGGTGCAGAAAAGATGAATAAAACCCTAGGAAAGTATAACAGAAAAAATCTAAACGTACAAAGGACACAAGAATGAACTAAGAAATAAGTATAAGAAAGGAGGAACTAATATGGCGAAAAAGTGAAATAAAGAGAACAGAGACATGAAAGAAGTCCAAAACTCAGACGTCTAAGGATCATATCAGTTAAATCTGTAAAATCCATCAATATTACTGAATCTACCATACAATAGGAAATTAATGTTGATTCCAACACTGAATTGTTAAGCATTTTTACCATCCACTAACTGTTTTAACACTATTCCATTGTGGTCCACCTTTTCTCCTCCGCCTAACATAATGTATGCATGTACCATATAACCCTTTTTCCACTGTTGCCCTCCACTGACTGTTCCAAGTCTTTTACAGAATTGTAAAAGTTTATAACAACAAACACTCTTATAGCCAAATTTGCACAACCAAATCTTCTATTAATTTTTTATTTTTAACTTTCCCCAATAGCAGCAATGAAATACTTGTTTAATAAATGTTTCGCATCCATTTCCACTACTGTTATCGTACCGCCCTACTCACAATTAGAGGCCATTTTAATCAAGCTCTGTCATATGGAATCTTTTAAATTCTTTACCACTGGTTATTCAACTTTTGGAATTGTCCAAGCTACCGCACCCTGTTGGCGGTCAGACGCCTCGGAGCTCCTCCGGTACTTGGTCCCCAAGAAGCGATCACACACTCTATCTAAAGACTCTTAAAGGAATGGGTGCGGCGCTGATGGTGTAGGGGTTGGGGCGCGACCGCGTGCAGAGGCTGCGGTCCTCGGGGCGGCCGTCCCGGGTTCAAGTCCCGGACCCAGCGACATTTGCCGAGTGTCTCCCACTCTCTCTGCCCCACCTTCCTGTCTGCCTACTGTCAAAAAATAAAAATAAAGGCAAATACCTTTAAAGACTCTTAAAGGAACGACTCTCAACCAGTTTCTAACTTTTAGCTCTTTTAATCTAAATTAAGGCAGAGGAATGATTACAGAGATCAGCGCTGAGGCTCCCATCTTGGAGCGTTGCCGTCTGTTAGAGGATGATGAAGAGCCCCAATAGAAGGTCACATCTAGTTTTTATATCTGGCACTCCAATGCAATGGATGTGCACTCCCTCAGTGATTATCAGTAGACTATGTGTCACCATTGTGGTGTCTATCTGTTAGATTGTGTAGTAGCGGGTGTCCATACTTACTCTA